ATCGGCACGCTCACCCGGCCATGCATGTTTTATTTGGCGCCCGGCTGTGATCGATTTTGCAATTTTAAAATATGACGTCAATAGGGGGTCCGGTGTGCTTATGAATTTTTAATATCGTGTAATGTTTGCTTTTATTGAATTCGATAAGCACATCGCGAGATATTTCTCCAGCTTAATACTTTTCACTGGCAGATCAGAAAATTCCGTTAAGCAACTGCCTTCTTCTATTGTCGTACCCTGATATTTTTTATCCGTTCCTCGGTACGGAAACTTTGTTCATCCCTGTCATGTTACATACAACAAACAAAGGCGCCACTAAAGTTGCTCTCGTCTGAACTATGACATAAAGTACCCTCGCATAGTTTTGTTACGCCCCCATGATCACGAAAATTGAACTACCTAAGTTAATACGGCATTGTGTGGTCTGTGGGGCTATTTTGGGACGTACAAATTTAACCATTGAATATTCATAAGTATAGCATGCTGCACATTTACTAAATTGACGCCTATAAAGTAACATTTTTGATATTTAAAGAAATTATAGTGTCGATAATACTGATATTTACAAAATTCTGACTGTAGTTTTACTTGAGCATTGTAATGATGACTTCCGACTGAATCTATCTTAAGTTTATTTCCTTTTTATTGCCATAATTTTTTATATCTTTCTGCGAGGTTGTTACTGTTGTCCTATGAAGTCGAGAATTTTTAGCACGACCAATTGCTAGTTAAAAGTCGCTTGTTAACAAGTTATTGAGGCAAAGGTGAAACCGGAGAGTAGCCTCGTGCCGAGATGTCTTGGGCAATGTTTCGTGTTTCCGTTCTCAATGGTTGCTGCCACAGTGTGTATATAGCGCACAGTAGAGAAATGTCTTCTCTCTTCTGGTCAGGCTATTCACAACAATTGTTTTAAATTCAGTAATACTTTGCACTTAAAACTAGCAAAGGCACGTACATTTACTATTTTTTGGCACTAGACAATAAAGGCAGGTTAAAGGCTTTGGTGATGATGTTTTCACGTCGTTAAAGTCGCATGGTTTGGCTACTATTTTTAATTATACTGTGGATGTCAGCTTCTAGACTCAAAATACATTTCCTTGAGCTGTAAAACTGGATTTTTTTGTTGATGTCTTGCTAATTTATATACCGCAATACATATCGGTTATAAAGAAACTTAAAAGGGGACAGTACCACACAATTTTACCTATAAAGGATGTTTAATTAAGTCCTATCAAAGGCGATACCAATAAATAATAAATACTGATAACTGCATTATCACTATACACATACTTGAATTCCAACGAAATATCAACTTAATAGCCGATAGATACGTGGTAGTTTATATTTCAATTCTTCTATATTATTTAAATCCAGCCCAAAACAGCCTCATAAAGTAAGGGGTTTGAATCCTGATAAAAATCACGATTTTATTTTACTAGTGATATTAAAAGTTTATTGTAACAGGCACTGGGTTGATCTATCACTGCCTTATATAGGGAAATAGAATATTAGATTTTCATAATTTATTTATTTTCTACGTAAAACTAAGGATACATATGTATTTTGAGAATGTTATGTCAAATGTATGTATCTTTGGGAAAATCTATAAGAAGTGTAGAGTACAGTATACTATGGGTTATATTGATTAAAGAACTAAGTAAAAATAGAATTATTCTAAACATAATACATTACGTAAGGAATTTAAAAGACAGTCGCTTGACTCTTCTATAGCGATATATTTTATCTGTGGACGCCGCAAATCCCCTCTTGAGGCTCTATATTGTATGTTACTCTGTAGAATGTCCGCCCATTGATATTCTACTATTTCTCTAGTATATCTGCAGTCGAAGGGTGAATGTCGCTTTTCATTGCTCGCCGACGTCCTTATTGCCATAGCTATAAGGTTCAATTGTAATAACACCAGTTTCAATGTGCGCATTCATTGAATCGAGGTTGGGGTGTCCACGATTTGATGCCGGATTTTATTAAAAATCATGGGTACTAAAAATGTAATGTTAAAAACTACAATTTCACGAATTAGCAAATATTAATAAATGTTGTTCATAGTTTACACGAAAGGTACACTTTCAATTTAAATAAATAACGCTTAAAAACGCGAAATTATTTTTAAAGCAAGTACATAATATAATATGCTTATGCTATCTTGCTATCTTGATGTATATAAATTCTCTTCAATCTAAATATATAGTATTTTAGTATTGCTCAAAAACCGCTTTCTATAAGACAAAAGATATGTTATCTTAGTTATTGTTAGTTGAGCATATATAGCTATTTGAAGACGTAATAAGGGCAAGGTTATTTAAAGTAGTGTCTTGAAAGTCACCATTATAACGTCAACTTGTAGTTAATAGATTATTAATGAATTTATTAATGCGACTAAATAATGTACCATGATGTGTTTCATTCTTATTCGTATTCTTTTTTAATATTTTGTTTATAAACTATGATACCTGATACTTCAATTATTAATACTCAACTATCTTTTCTACATTGCTATAGATAGTAGAAACTATATACCTCAAGACCTTTATCAACGTTAGTCCACTTTAGCGCCCAATAAAAAGTCTAAATCTATCGCAGAAAACCCTCGCAATGGAGGTCGTCTGGGCCTGGGGGTTTTGAAAAGCGAAGCGAATGCGGACCCTAATGGGCGTGTTATCGACGCAGCCGGCGGGGTTCGGGGTGCGGGGTGACACTGGAGCACGACCGACCTTGGCCGTGACTCCCCGGGTCCCCGGCCACGCATCGGCTCCAAATTGATTTTAGCCCCCAGCCTCCTTGCGAATGCGTGGCGGCCGTTTTTTTATGCGCGCCTCTCCCTCCCTACGTCGAACGTGACGGTGCATCGTAATATTTTCGACGTTTCGTTGAAGTAACTGTAGTAAGGCAGCGGGAGGAGAAATTTGAATGTTGAAGTAATAAGAAGTATATTTATATTCTGTTTGGACTTGGATATGATTTGCTTGCGCAGTGTAAACATTTCTCTCATTATTCATTGATAATATTTGTGATAATATATCATATTAGGTTGCAACTGCATCCGATACTGTGAATTTTGTTGTTTGTGCCGATAACGCTCATGTAAACGATAGCTCATGATAAATAAGTGATAAATATGCCGGTACAAGTGAAATAGTTTCTTCAAACTCTGATTGCAACTACCTATTTCATTAAACTGTTGGCTTTTAAAATTATATATAAATATCGCTATCTAACTCACTGAACGTATTCAGATAAACGCAACTTCGATTTCTTTTCTAAGCACGTAAAACCACAGTGTTTTAATTTCAGCTGGAAAAGGATCAGACACTGTTTTACATATAGAATATTATATTTAGATATTTTTTTTTAATTAAAGAGGTGGACACACATGGCATGGAGTTCACTTGATGATAGGTGATACCCCAGCATCTAACCAAGATGCGCTCTCGACCTATTTGGATATTTGGAAAATTCACAGACTGAAACTGTGATGCGAAAACAGATCTGTGGATGGTTCGTGGCCCGGGTGGAATTTGTATATTCCTATCACCCATTTTATTTCCAGTCGAAATCCAGCATGTTTAGACAAATTAGAAACATGTTGGACCTGGTGGGGATCGAACCCACGACCCGTTGATCATTATCCACACAACGAGCCCTTCAAAATATTATATTTGTTGAGTGTTTTCAGCTCAAAATCTCCATTTAACATTGCTGTTCCAGTCTGATTTATCCTTTCGTATATCTTGACCTACATTATTAATTAAAACATTTTATAATTGTTAACGCTTCGCCATTTATTACGGTTGAGGTCGTTTTTGTTGAAATAGCGTTTAGTTTGCTCGGTGGCAACATTACTCTGTGCGGGACGTGATCCTATTAACATTCACTTAATGCAATTACATACGTTTGAAAATATTATTAATCACGTTTTCATTGCGTTGCTTTTTTGTAATTAATTACTATTATTGCACAATTATGTTACTACTACTAAGTATTCAATGATACAATTATATGGGCTTATGGAAGTTAGTATATCATCACAGAAATCTAGTCGAAAGTGCACTTAAATTCAAATGTGCAGCGAAATGGGGACGTGGCTACTTCGTTTTTTTTTCTTATTATCCGTCTATTCTGGCTTACGGGTACCTCAATATTACAGGCAACAAAACAAGTTACCCACTTCAATCTCTAGTTATATCTGTGGTACTCCACAAATGATACTTAGTCTTAAAACGGGTTCGTACGTAAGATATAGCATACCCATGTTAATCTATAGATCATAAATTTAAGTCTTAACATTATGGTCTTAATGCATCTAAGTATAAATGTATACTATACCTAAGACACAGTATGTCGTTTGAACGGAACGCCGTGGAGGCTAGTTCAAATCCCGCCTGTGTCATACTTTTTATTCTATACACTATAGTCAATATAATTCTTTCCTCTTCCACGATACTTTGCATGCACAGACAGACCATTTCCTCCCAACTCGAAGCACAAAAAATAAAACTCAACGCATAAGTGAAGACAAATTCTGGGAACTCTTTCCAGCGCAGTGTATAAAAAGAGATGTAAGTTAACATCGAAATAGACTGCACGATGTCGATGCTGGAGGCCGACGGGAATAGTTTGGGAACTAATAATAGTTTTGCTTCGTGTTTCTTCTGTCCGCACCTCCGTTAGCGCACGAACTCCAAATAGTTTGCCCGCAATGCATGTTATTGGAATAGCAAGTATAAGTTTCTACTAATGTTTTGCGCCAAATTTTGTTAGATATATTGTATGTTTGTTACTCTCCGTTTAAAGGATTTAAAAACGTAAGCATCCGAAATATCAGGTCGTTGTTAAAACGAGTTAATTGATTTTTTTTCAGTTTTCACTTTAATCGCGTTTTGGTTTCAGTCTGTCGATTTTCGAATGTACCTAGGAACCTCATGCTGGCCTGTCCTTCTCCATCATAAAAATATCACAAAGCTGTTTCACGCCGGATACCAATGTTTGCTATTATCACGCTTTATCGCAGCCTTGCCTGGCCGGACTTGGAACCGGTTGCAGCGAGGTTGCTGCACCAAGTCAACCAGACCCCTCCCCGTACCCAGTCGGCCTACAACATCATGACAGATAGCGATCAAGTTACGCTGGTCACGCGCACCGAGCGATCTCACGTCAGTTCTGGCTACGCGATCACGCAGTTGCGTGTACTTACTTGGTCTCGACGTTTTTTAAATTTCGAATTCTGGTTTCGGGGTATTTGGTAGAGGTCAACGTAACCTCGCTGTTCGGCTTGGTACCTCTGCATCCTTGCTCTCCATTTACTTTGGTTACTTTAATATTGTGGCAATACAATACGCCTTACCCGTATTGGCCATTTGTCACTATTTAGTTAGGACTAGCTGTGTCGGCGACTTCGTCCGCGTAGAATAGTTATTTTGGGTACCCAAAATTTATAAAAATTTACATACCTCCTCTTCATCTTTATAAATTTATGCTGTTACTCACGATGTCGATCGCGGCTCGTCGTTCTTGCGAGTGATTCTTAAAAGATGGCGATATAGTGTCGCGGACATTTTTTTAGATTATTTAAAGAGGAATCATCCTTTCATACATAATTTTTGGGTATCTTGAACCGTTGTCGCAGTTACCCATCGGAAACACACGGAGATGAATAATTTTCCCCGTTTTCTATACATTTCCCGTTGTTTCTTCGCTCCTGTTAGTCATAGCGCGATATTTTATAGCCTATAACATTCCTCTATAACTGCTCTATATTTTTTCAATTCAAACCAAAAGTTTCTGAGACTAGCGCGTTCAATAAAACTCTTCAGCTTTTATATTAGTAAAATTCGTTTCTTATTTTGTAAATAATACCTTAATATATTTCTTACCTGTAGTACATACAATATTTTTTAAATTATTAAAATGAATATTTAAAATCATTGATACTTCAGACTGACACCAAAAACTGGATGGACTCTTTTGAAATACTCTCATCAGTATGACTGGACACCTCTCCGAATGAAATGTCGGGTTGATCGGTTTGTTGTGGCGAGAATTCTATAGAAATTTACGCTCGTAAATAAAATAGATGTCTAATATTTTTTTCTACTGATAGGTCTCTCTGCGTGAATTCATCTTGTTTTTGTTTATCGGCCTGTCAAAACTAGCGACCTTCGTTTCCTCTCACCGATTGTGCGCACTAATGACTCCGACAAAAACGTGCCTCCACGAAATAATGATTGGCATTTATATGTGATTATCATGCAATTTCATTGAATTAGCGTGTTTCTAATGTGATTAACGGCCTAGTGCTTACGACGGGTGACGCGGCTACGACACACTTCAGGTGAAAACGGCGCAATGAACGCATAGCTCATGTATCTTTTCTTCTAATAATATCATATAGAGTACCAAGATTTTTCAAAAGTCAAAGGGACTTTTGAAAATTCTTGGTGATTTTGATCAATTCCAAAAATTACCTTCTTTGTTCTTATTTGCTATTTATGACTTGATTTTTCTAATCGCCTGTATGAATTTGACATATTTCTTTTCCAACGAAAAGATAAAACATATTTTACCTCAACGTAATATTAAACTTTGTGTGTAAGTTAAATTTTTCTAAGAAACTGTCATTAGAAGTTGCCCCCAGCTTAACATTAAAAACGAGAGGTTCTGTGTCTCTTCCATGTCCCCATGCCCCATTTAGAGATAGGTTTTACACACACATTCACAAAATATAAACTTTATTATTTACGTAATTCGAAGAACACTAAGTAAGGGGCTAATCTCAAGCAGTTCCCTCGATTTGTTTGCGACTTACCATATTACTACTTGTATTTTTACCTTTCGATAACAGCACCCAATCAAACCTACACGTACTCGAAGACCCCATATCCACTGAGAGGCTCTTACGTTTGATCCTAACAAGATCTCCAACCAGTCCGATGTAATTTGAATATCTACAACTCTTTGATGTAATTATAGCGAGGGTTTCGTTTGATATTTTTTGATATCCTTTGAATTATACGCTCTGCATGAATGAAGGTGTGGGACCTTGTAGATAATTTGATTGAAGACTAATTGCGTCCCTGTACCCATTAGCTCCTAAAAATCTCGACAAGAATGGTTCATATGAAATTGGCTACCTATCCCGAGACCCAAATTAATGTTCTTTAGATGTATATTTAAAGTCCCAACTCTGAAACCATAATAAACAACTTTCGCAGCGAGCTAAATAATAACAAATGGCTAATAAAATACGCGATATTCGTCCGACGGGAATCCGATGGTAATTTTACTAACGCTCTGTAAACAGAATGGACCAGACTAATTTATGGCTTAATTTCGGCGGAGTTTGGCGAAAAACACCTTGTTTACTTCGCATTACTTTGCTCTTTGAGCTATCGGCGTTTTATATTAGAGCGGTGATTGCTGCGGTATCTAGTTAGCAGCTTAATAAATGTTACGTTGTCAGACCTTATCGGAAAACCTATGTTTTCATCGGCATTATGGAAATGGGAAATTTTCTGTGGACTGTCCTGAGCAGACGTGTAGTAATGAAACTGTTTTTCGATCACTATATTGTATGGTATTACATATTATGTAAGTTGCTTAAAATACTTTAATCATGGTAGAGGAGAACATTAACAACTCTCCGATGGTAGATTATATATATCTATATGGACGCTATAATGGTAAAACGATTTTTAAATAATGTTTATGTGTTCGTAGTTTTTCGTTTGCGTTTTTAATCTTTAAACACATTAAGTGAACTATAAATATACTGATGCGAAGCAGTGGTGGCCTTGATATTTTAGTTTCTCGGCATAACAAGTATTAAGGGGACATTTAAATTTGGTCCAATCTCGAAAACACGCCTCGTATGTTTACTAATGAATTCGTAATGTGTGTGACAAATTAGTGGATTGTCCGTCAGTGTTTAATATAGTCTAGACATTGTATGGATAATACGTATATTATATTCTTAATTCTCATATTTGCATTGTTACTTCAGTGCAGCTGAATTTTTTTTTCAGACAGTAGGCAGTCATATCAAAGCGTTCAACTGCGGCTGTAGTTTAAGGCGTAGACTCTTCGCCTTTTTATATTCAATTGTTTTTCGTCCCAAACTAGGGTTACTCCATCCAAAATTCTAGGTAAATAATATTAACGAGGAATCTTTAACTCATTCATTCAAATAAAGATGTTATTAATGCTACCAACAAGCACAAGATGTGATGTATGGTTCTTAGTACCTTAAAATTATTAGTATTAACCGGTGGCTTCGACTACAATCACCCATATAATTAACATACATATGTAAAATATATGCATATTACGCGTATCTATTAATCTTCTTATTTAGTACTCGCAAAACGTCGTGTATCGTTACTGTGCAATATTGTTCATCGTACAATACACTCGTTATTTTTTGTTATACTTATTTAACAACATTTATGACGTGTGTGATCGATGGTGTTCCGACCTTGAATGACGCGATAAGTTCAAGGCTTAGCGCTGTGGAAATCGCTTTGTACTTTATTGCCCATTGTCGTTCGAAGGGTTTCGTATCTACGGTGGAAAAAGAGATGGATAATTCTAGAATAGTATATCTCTAATCTATTGCAAATGGTTTCAATAAGAATCATTTATTATCTTTTTTTCTTTGAGTAGATAATAATTAAACAATTTGTTTAAAACTTCATTAATTGTCTAAATAAATTAATTCTTTTAAATAAAAACTTTAAGTTTAAAAGCGATATATTAGTTAAACTCATTTTCAAATAAGTTTAACTAATATATCGCTTTTAAACGTTAAAGTGTTTTATTTAAATTGTACTACTCGTAAATATAGACAGTATTTAAATTAATTGCTACTTTTAGACATTTTCCTTCATTCAGTTCTCTTCATCCTTATCTTTCTAAGTAGAGCAACTGTTTCAAATTATAACAAGTAATTTAAAAAAAAATCAAGAATGTGTTGTTAGTGTAAAAGTGTTAATATCTTATGAACTATTGCAATGTATTTGTAATAAGATTGTAAGGGAACAACTTACAAAAATGATCACTAAAATTAAAACTTGACATAAGATTACTTCGCAAAGTTATCGCATGAGAACAATCTTGAGATTCTTGTTTTTTTTCGCATTGAACTACATGAATATATCGCAGCGGTCATTACCTCTTTTTTTTTGTTTGCTCATAAATAATTAATTAACATACGCAACGTTGTCGTCACTAAGCAATGCTCGACAAGGGAGTTCGATAAGTTTTTACTTTAACATATTTTGCGGCTTCATTACTCGTAGAACAAATTTATTTTGTCCTTCTCTATCGCCTTCTCTGTGACTCTAAAAATCCTCTACCCATTCGATAAATAAATATAACTGTATATTCTGCTAAGAAGACTTAAACGTAAAAATATTGAAATTTCGTTTGGGCTTCCGTCGACTTTTGAATGCCTATAGCCGCAAAAATAGGTCAAAACTTCTTGTTTAGATATTAAAGACTAGGGTATTTTATCTTCTATCAAGTGAAAGGTTCACTTCTCTGTCATAGAAAAAGAGATCGCAGGCACTACTGTCATTTGTCAATATTTTAACAATACTTTGAGTGTAGATTTATTATGATTAAAAGAATCATAGAACATTAGTAACAAGAAGACATAATAATAATTTAAGATTTGAAATCTAACATACATTAAAATAAGACAAATTAATTTAGTAAACAACAAGTAACGCTTAGTAATGTAACCGCAAATGTTAAACATTCTGTACAATATGTAGTGGTCTTCAAGTGAGATTTTAATTTCACTCTACCGTGGAAATGACTGGAGCATTAGAAGAAAACCTCGCACAAAGGAAGTTTGATATTATTAAAGTAGTAAATGTTAGATGGTGGATGATTATGAGCACACATTGGAAAAGTCTTGTCTCAGATTGGAATCAAATTGCGTGCGTGCCTTGGACTAATTACGCAAACTCCACCGAGTTATTTGAGTTTAATTTGCCCGTGGACGTACGAAATTGGTTTTATTTTTATCTAACTCTGCGTGCAATTACGGTGTCTATATTCATGTACTTTGGAAGTACACGAAACTAGATTGTTCATAACTAGGCTTTGTTTTTCGGTTGTCCGCGGAACTTTTGTAAGTTATATAGGAATTATCGGTATATGTTTCTCTATATTGAATATTTGAATTATGTGTAGATAACTCTAGATATGGTAAGAATGATGTGAGGGTAAAATTTCTTTGATTTGA